GAAAGAAATGGTCAGTGAAGATGAAAGGGAGGGTATATAAAGCATGTGTGAGAGCAGCGATGATATATGGTGGTGAAACTTGGGTGTTGAGGAGAGAGGAGGAAAGTGTACTGCAGAGGGCTGAAAGAGCTATGGTGAGGATGATGTGTGGGGTTAAAGTGAAGGATAGGAGGAGTAGTACAGAGCTGATGTCAATGATGGGACTGAATGAGGACATTGTGACATTGATAAGGAGATCGAGATTGCGGTGGTATGGACATGTGTTGAGAAGGGATGAAAGGGTCGGGATTAGGCGAGCGTTGGAGTTCGAGGTTGAAGGAGTGGTAGGAAGGGGTCGTCCGCGGTTGGGATGGAGAGAGCAGGTGGAGAAGGACAGGGTGAAAGCGGGGTTGCGTGATACTGAGGCGAGTGACAGATGTGGATGGAGTCGAGGGGTATTTCGGTTTCATCATAGGTAGCCAAACGGCAACCCCCGATCTCGGGGAAAATGCCGTCTAAACGTGTGTTGTTGTTGTTTATTGTTATTATTATAATTATTATTTATTTATTTAAAATGGAATAAAAACAATATAATTTAAAATAACTTCCGTAAATAACAGATGAAAAACAAATTAGAAATAAACTATAAAATAATAGCCAACCGATAGGGATGTTTGTAATGGTCCAATAGCCAACGATGATCATTGGATCGTCCATCAGTTTTTCTGCTCTCTGTCTGTCTTGTTGCATGTTTACCGATAACTTTATGGTACTTAGATACTATATTAATCACTAAGATACAATATTTTTGATACTCGGATAGTACCTAATTACCTAATATCTTTGATACCCGGAGAGATGTAAATTACGAATTAGGATACTTTAATATAGAGGTACTTAACGACTTTCTTGAAAAAAATTTTCTAGATTAAGAAAGATTTGATATCGTAAACAAAATTTCTTCAAATTGTTGTTGTTTAATTCTACTTAGTTGATGGATAATTTTCTTCAGTTTTTGTTGATATATTTTTCTTCAAATGTTGCCTAATCTTTGGAATTGTTGTTGTTGTTACAGAACGGTACGGTAGGTAGTTACTTCGTTGTTTTCGTAGTTGTTGCTGTTGTTGTTGATACTGTTGTTTCTGTTGTTGTTGTTTCAATTGTTTTGCTGTTGTTGTTGCTGTTGTTGCTTGTTGAGTTACGGTTTGAATGCCACTTTATATACACGTCGAAATATCATGCGGTTGATTCATGCTCGTTTGATCGTAATAATTGCCACCAAATCATCGTCGCCGTCGTCATCTGCTTCATTTTTATTCTTCTTATTGTCAATACAGAGAGTCGTTATTAATGTTATTTTTTTATTCTTCTTATTATCATCACCATTTAATGTTTCTCAATGTATGATGCATTCGGGGTTTTTTCTATAATAACATGAATAAAAATAGAGACAAAGTTGATGAATCTATACAACACTCTCTCTCTTTCTTATTCTTCCTACATCTCACTCACTCTCTCTCTCTCTCTCTCTCTCTCTCTCTCTCTCTCTCTCTCTCTCTCTCTCTCTATTTCCTCCTCTGTTCTTTATATTTTTGTTATATATACTTGATTGATTTATATATCCACATTTCAGTGAATATCGTAAAGATTTGGCACTAAACACACCTACGCGC